ATAAAACCGTTATTGTATGCTACGCTATCCAATAACTCCTAATGAATTATTTTACAAATAATTCTCGTTATTGTCTGTTACGCATTCAATAACTATATAGTATTCCGTTAAAACCTACATTAGTATACCTAATAACTTTTGCTTTCGCACCCATTTTAATACCATTTCTTTTTAACTTTTCTAACTTCTACTATTACCCTAACAAATTATCCCAAAATTACCCCAAATTTTCCTTATTATTCTATTCAATAAATATAATTCCCATCCAAATACACTCAATATTATTATGCGTTCCCTAAAAAGTTATTCTATTTTTAAATCATTCTCTACTATAATTTTATTAGCCATATACAGTATATACAAAGACTGTATATAAATTACGTTTACCGGTAATAAAACCGTTATTTTTTTTTTTTACAAATTCGCAGCAAAACGAAAAATAACAAGAAATCGCAAAAAACTTAAATTTGCTATGGAAACTAGTTTTCTGTTATTAGGTAAGAGTTTTTCGGCACAAAACTTTGCAAATAATAATAATTAGGATGGTATCGTTGTTGGATTAGTCACGGGACCGTCAATTTTTTCGTCATGCTCACTAGATTCAGTTTTGAGTGTTATTTCAACAACTGTTTCATTATTATGATTATTTTCTTGGCCGTTACTATGGTCACTATCAAGGTTTTTTTTACGTTTCCAGCTAAAATAATAATATAATAATATAATGATCAAATCTAATATGAATATAGAAAGATAACAGGATGACACAAACGCGTCAAATGGAGGTGGTCTAAATGCTAAAAAAATAAAATAAAAATAAAAAAAGAGTTTTAATAAGGTCGAAGTTGATTCTAGGAATTATTAATAAAATTATTTACCTAAACTTAATGTAGAAAAGGCGGATCCAGACATGTCAATTGCTAAAAATATCAATGAAATACCATGCACAAATTTTCTACCTAGAAATATATATATATAAAATAAATATTAATTGGTGTTTATTAGAAAGTTTTTTTTTCGATTAATTAGTATTTATTAAAAAGTTTCTTTTTTACGTGAATAATAGATATTAACTAGGCAAAAATACTATTCCTGATGGATCGTCGGTACTGTTCCTGATGGGATGAAAAAAAAAAAACAATTTACATACCGTTCCTGATAGGGTTCTAAAAACCAAACTACCAAATTCTCTTACCGGATTCGCGCGAAATACATGTAATTCAAAGAGAACTAATATTTAATCAGCCGAGTATAACCGTAATTTTAATGCTAATAATTTTTTTGCTAAATTAATTATTAGCTCTCTTCAATTACTTGTCCCGAATAACGCCTATGGAAGTTTTTGTGTAGATACTGTACTGTATTATAGACCAATATTTAGAAAAGTTGAAATCAACGTTGTGAATCAATCACGGGTCGAGACTTAGTATTCGTATTATGACTAAACATCGTCATGAGAATTAACTTCGGTTTCCCTATCAGGAACGGTATGTAAATTGATTTTTTTTTTCCATCCCATCAGGAACAGTACCGACGATCCATCAGGAATAGTATTTTTGCATTAACTAGTATTTATTAAAATTTTTTTTTTCATTAATGAAAGATAAAAGAAAACGCACAATGAATTTCGTAAAATTGGGGTACAAATCCGATACAAATAAATATTGTAGGGAATATCCCAAAACTTAATTTTGGCCATTTGATATTTTTTTCATCCGCGACCTAAAAATTATTTTTAAAAAAAAAAAGGTTATAAATTTAAACAATATTAAAAAAAAATTTACAATAAACATGTAATAATAAATGAATACTCTTATTCCAAAAACACAAGCAGATTGAAGTCCGACCCATATCATACAGATAATAATAAATAAGAATCCAGATCTCTTTTTATTTCGAATAAACATGGAATTATCATAATACAAGCATTGTATAAAACATATTAAACATAGTAGGCCAAATATCAACGGTTGAACCATTAGAATGATCGAAAGTTCAGCTACTATCGCGTAGGTTCCATAAAACAAGCAACCTACAGCCTGTTTTTTTTTAATAAAGAATAATTTGGAATCAATTTAAAGCGTGTAATTATGTAAATTATGTAAATGGTGTAAATTGAGTAAATTGAATAAATTGAAGAAATGTAACCAACCCAAAATAACATCATGAGAGGTGAAAGTCCTTTTCATAAAAAAAGGTAAGTGAATGCTCGCGTTATTTCCCAGAAGATAACCATTTCCAATGTAATTATCCAAATCCCATTCACAAGAATAAATCCCCATGAAAATTCATTAATTCATTAATTTATTATTTATAAATTCATTAATTCATTAATTCATTAATTTATTAATTCTTTAATTAATTAATTAATTCATTAATTTTATTAATTTTTAATGAATTCATATTTATTGAATTAGTTAATTTCGTAATGTAGAATTTATTTAGGCAATGTGAGTGGGAAATTTGGATTATGTGTATACATAACGGTAATAACGATGAATTTTGATAACGATAACGACAATAACGGCAATAACGATATGTAACAACACATAACGATGACCATATTAATCTATTCATAATAATTGAAATAACTTCAAACACCCAAGTTGAAATCTTAAAATGGATACCGTACGACATAACATACCTTTCGTTGATTGATTACGCCAACTTTTGTGCACTTTATAAAAAAAAAACATTATGACATTACAAAAGTTATTATATTGCACGAAAATTGAACAAAAAAAAGACTTTGAACAGATATTTACCCTGAGGAAGCAACTGAAAAGACCATAAAATAGTTCCAATAGTGCCGAATAAGTATTCCAAAATATAAAATAAATTTTGATGATCATTATAATTCATTATTTTTTATTATTATTTTGATTATTTTTTATTATTTTTTTGATTATTTTTTATTATTTTTTTGATTATTTTTTATTATTTTAGAAAACAAAAAATCAAAATTCTGAAACTTATTTAGTACCGTACATACTGTATGAAAAAAATTTTATCAAATTTAAAGGATAGGAAAAACAAAGGATTTTCAATCATTATTATAGTAATAATTTTGGGATTGTACAGTACAACATTGATATTCTACGTTAATCTACATAATCAATTTAATGCTGTAATGAGGAAAAAAAAATTAAAGAAAATGGCACACTATTTATGTGGTACGCGAACACAAGATCAAATTGATGTACAATTAAAACCTAAGTGTAAAGATAAATAATTATAAACAAAAATACAGGGATTTATTATTCACACGTAGTACATATATCATGTTGTGGTTGTCGTTCAATTCCCAGAAAGTTATTTACTCTCCAATTCATTTCTCCGACACCGCAATGCCGACATGCTATTTCATCTACAGCACATTTTTCGATAAGACATATATTCGACATTACTTAGATAAGACATTTCCCGACAAACATTTCTTCGACATAAAAATTGACCCGATTTAGCCTGATTTAGAGTTAGTGTTGGTTAGAATTATATGTCGAGAAATGTCTTGTCTAAGAAAAGTATTGTCCAAAAAATGTAATGTCAAACATATGCCTAGGGATGGCAAATGATTTAAAACATAATGTTTAAATCAATTTTATATGTTTTAAAAACACCATCACTGATATTGATGTCATGATTAATAATACTGATGCGGATATGACTGATGTAAAATATAGTGTATTTGCATATTCAATTGAGAAATAAAACTTCATGGCGACACTGAAGTTGAAATTAATCAATTAGATGCAGTAACTCATCTATCAACGTCATAATCAGCAATGTTTTAAAAGGCGTTCTCAAGCACCTACCTCAATGAATTCAATAAAAAATCTGATTGGTTACTTTGATCAAACAGACCAATCAGATTTTTTACTGACTTCATTGAGGTAGGTGCTTGAGAACGCCCTAAATCATGTTAAAAAAACATAAAAATCATTAAAAAGCGATTTTTTACCATCCCTAGGTTCAATAACTTCTTTAAAAGGTATTTCATAATTTGGAAATTATTCTGATTATATACATGTAACGTTTTTATCATCAATGTCGATCTATCAAAAAACGTGTAAAAAGAATAGTGAGAACTTGACTAGGAAATTGCCAATTTGTGATTCTCCGATTGATTACAGGATTATTATCAAATTAAATTAATTTTTATATAACGATAAACTTCAATTATATTGATTAGTCGGATGATCTTTTAACTCCCAGATTGACATTTCCTAAACAAGTTTTCATAGAATGCGTAATGCGTAATTATTTTCTATTGTATATCAATGTTAAATTATTTTTTTAAAAAGACAGAAAATCAAACTCTAATTTATAATATAAAAATCACTTGTAAATGGATGATAATTAATTTCTGATTTGTGATTGGACAAACTTGGGATGTCCCTAAACGGAAAAAGGCTCAAAATGTACAACGCTACCTGACTTTTATCAAGTTACCTGTCTAGAATGTTTTTATTTGTTTTCATTCTTGAACTATTAAAATACTCGAAATATTCAAATTGCCAAGCAAATCCGAAACTTAGAAACCAATTATCATCATCATTATTATTATTATTATTATTATTATTATTATTCTACTATCACTTTAAACTACTATTCATAACTATTCATAACCAGTGTTCCGAATAATCCGGATCTGACGGATTCGTATCGGATTGCCCGGATTAAGCCTAATTTTGAGATTTGGGTCCAGTTTTTTCTTTCACATTGCATTAATATATAAATTACAACTCGACAATGTTAAAATATTTAGTCATTAAATACTCCGAAATTTCGGATTCGGTTACCACATACTATTAATTTTATCAATCCAATGCGCATAATATATAGTTGCAAATTCTCCCTTTTTATTTTCTTCAATGTCTCTGAACTTACTATAATCAATCCAAAATAATTTAAATCTCTCATCGTCTAATATTTTCTTAAGTTTAGGGTTGATGTAATTTAGTGATATATCCGTTTTCAAAAGACCTAAAATAATATTAAATTCAGATAAGCAAATATATAATAAAAAAATAATACTAAAAAGTAATATAAAAAATATATAAATTACACTATTACTTGACCAAAGCTCTTTTATCACCAGATGGTAATCTTAGCTAAATTAGTTGCGATAAAACTCTAAAATATATAAATTCTTGCTTCTTTTAATTTGGATTATGAGTTACTTTAAGTTTACTATTAACTATATACTATTTATTCTATCAATCCAATGCATATAATATATAGTTACAAATTCTCTCTTTCTATTTTCTTTAATGTCTCTAAACTTACTATAATCAATACAATATAATTTAAATCTCTTATCATCTAATATTTTCTTAAGTTTAGAATTAATATAATCTGTGATATATCTATTTTCAAAAAACTTAAAATAATATTAAATTCAGATAAACAAATATATACTATATAATAAAAAATATAATATAAAAAGTAATATAAAAGATATATAAATTATACTATTACTTAACCTAAGTTCTCTTATAACTAGATGATAATCTTAGCAAGACCAATTGCAATAAACCTCTAAAAGATATAAATTCCTTAATAATTCTTGCTTTTTTTTGTTTGAATTATAAGTTACATTAAGTATACTATTATATTATATATTATTAACTCTATTAATCCAATATGTATAATATATAGTTGCAAATTCTCATATTCTATTTTTTTCAATATCTCTAAACTTACTATAATTAATTCAAAATAATTTAAATCTCTTATTATTTAATATTCTCTTAAGTTCAGAATTGATATAATTAGTAATTTATCTGTTTTCAAAAACTTAAAATAATATTAAATTTAGATAAGCAAATATATAATAGAAAAATAGTACTAAAATGTAATATAAATAATATCACAAAT